ACTCTGCCAGTCCCCCTGCTTGTGTTCCCTCTCTCGCTGTGTCTCTCTCTGTCAAATAAATAAATAAAATCTTTAAAAAAAAAAAAAGAAATCTATATTCAACCATTTTCTTATATGACTTTTTCCCCATAGATTTGAGTAAAAAGATTAATTTCTGCCTAATCTTCCTCTATTAATAAAAATTCAGATAATAAGAATTTTGCATTATTTTGAATTAAAATTGTTAAAAACTATTTCCTACCTTTAGGAGAAATAGAGGATTTTGTACAGAAATTAGTAGTTTTTTGAATAAAGTTATCCAACATTCTATCATTTCAAAAGGCCGCTTGACTTGTATTTGCCAGAAGATACCTTATACCATCAAAATTCTGTGGATTAAAAAGTGGTTGACCATAATTAGCATGGCTTTTGTACCTTCTCTCCTGTCACCACTGCCTTTTCTAAAATGACTCTTTTACAGAAAATCTGTTGAACTTGTGTTGAAGCCAGTTTTCAAAATCACTTTTATTGCTGCTCAGCCACAATACTAAAACTTGTTAAATGCCTCTTTCACTTGGTAACAGCTCTGGCCTCTGTTCCCCTTGTTGGAACATCCACCCGGGGCCAGCCTTACCTGGAAAAGGCACCCCGGCTGGAGGGGAAAAGGCATCCGTCCCTCTGCCTCCGACTGTCGGGAGCGTTAAAAGCCACTCCAAATTTTTTTCTATTAATCCTGCCTAGATTTGTTATTTCATAGATATGAAGTTGGGGGAACCTTAAGAGCCCGCGGGGCCAAGCCTCTGGCTGACAGAATCTCCCCAGGAGGTCTAAGTCAGAATAGCAAACTGATGGCCTGTCGGCCCAGGCTGACCTATAAATATTGGGTTTGGGCTCTTGGCTGTTATAGGGTTTTATTTATTTATTTTTTAAAGATTTTATTTATTTGACAGAGAGAGACATAGCAAGAGAGGGAACACAAGCAGGGGGAGAGGGAGAGGGAGAAGCAGGCTTCCCGCGGAGCAGAGAGCCCGATGCGGGGCTCGATCCCAGGACCCTGGGATCATGACCTGAGCCGAAGGCAGACGCTTAACCACTGAGCCACCCAGGCGCCCGTTATAGGGTTTTAAACTGTGAATTGGTTACCAAGATTTAAAACTCAGAAAATTTCACACAGAAATCCTGACTTCCAGCTTCTCCTGACAAACTAGAAAATCCGACTATATTGAGCACTGTCCTTAATGGGACGGTACCCTGTGGGAGCTTGAGAAGTGGCATTCTGCTTTGCACGGCCCCTGCTCTCCAGTGTGCTGGTTCCATCTGGCCCATCTTGCTCCCTCGTTGCTGCTTGGCCCCTGCAGGCATGAAGAGAGTGCTCTCTCTGCTCTAAGTGACCTCCTCCCCACCAAGAAACATCCCTCATCCAGGGGGCACAGTGAGAGACCTGGAGCTCCCGAAGAAGAATAGGACTCAGAGAGGAAAGAAGGAATCCAGGAATCCTGGAAGTAGGTTTCTTCCCTTCACAAAATTGCCTCAAACAATTCAAGGCTTCCATGAGACAGAAGGGAGTCCCTAAGGTCACCTTTTAACTCCCTGCTGAAGCCATTCTACAGAAGTTTGTGCAGTGGTGGTGGGAGGTAAAAGGCATTGAGGAAAATGAGGCATCTAGGTATCTATGAATTTCAGTTTTTCTTACCCTCCTTAACTCTCATTGCAGCCTCCTTCCAAACATGACCACAAATGTCTGGCACCCACAGGTACTCAGGAACTGCTGAATGAAGCATGTCAGCCTCTGAAAAGATTTTTGCAACCAAAGTCATTACATCCAAATGACACTTCATTTTGAAAAAATGCACTTAGAGGGAAGACCTAAATATAAGTCCTAAACCTGTCTTCACAACTTTGTGATCTGATGCAAGTTAGTCTCTCTGATTCCATTTCACCATCTGTAAAATGGGGTCACAACATTGACCCGTCACGCAGAAGTATCGCAGGATAAGTATGCAAAGTGCCTGGTGTGAGCCCTGGCTAGTAACAGGAGTAAAGACAGCAGAGGAAAAATAAGCAGAGCCAGGAACATAGCAGACACTCCAACCCAAGAGCTCAATCATCATTAGTAGTTATCCCTGGTGCTTGCTTTCTATCTTAGCAACATCTGACTTATAGGAAAATAACACTGATGTTACTTATCAGTACCTATTTTAAGATGGTGTGTTTGCTTTTCCATCATGTTTTCTTTCCAGGCTATCAAGTGCTGTTTAGCAGATCTTCCACAGTCTATTGGCATGTGGACACCAGATGCTGTGCTTTGGCTGAGAGATTCTGTTTTGAATTGCTCGGACTGTAGCATTAAGGTTAGTTCTCTTGATACATTTGGAAAGGGAGCTGTCAGCCAGAAGGGCTTATTTGTTTCTCTGTGAAAGAATCTTATCTTACCATAAACTGATGCTTTCAGATCTGACACATTTTCATAGTTAAGAGATTGGTTACATGTGTGGTAAAATATCTCATGGTTTGATTTTTATTTAAGAATTTATCATGTATCGGGCGCCTGGGTGGCTCAGTTGGTTGAGCGACTGCCTTCGGCTCGGGTCATGATCCTGGAGTCCCTGGATCGAGTCCCGCGTCGGGCTCTCTGCTCGGCGGGGAGCCTGCTTCTCCCTCTGACCCTCCCCCCCCATGTGTTCTCTCTCTCTCTCTCTCTCTCTCTGTCTCAAATAAATAAATAAAATCTTTAAAAAAAAAAAAAAAGAATTTATCATGTATCTCCAATATTATTTTTAAACCCTTTATATAATTTTTCCACTATTAATAAGGTATCAGAGATAGTTCTCTGCTATTTTGCTCCATGATAAAGAATTAAGTTCCCAACAGAGGGACCATCTATCTCTTGATAAATGTTTCTAAAGATCATTTAAATAGTCTTCTATTTCTTTTTTTTCTAAAGTAGAATGACTTATAAGCAAATCATTTGCTTATAATTCTGTTTTCCGCCTTTAAAAGTTTACTTAAACTGTTTTATTTCACAAGCCCCTCTTTCTTTTTCTGTACTTTTGCACTTTTATATCAGAAACATTGCTCTTATTTCCAAGAATAGAAATGTAAGATATTTCTCTGTTTTAACTAATGAAAACAATGTTATTTTATATAAGCATTTAACAATGAAATGTCTTTGAGAAATATCTTCATGAAAATCTCTAAATTATTCTAGCTCACATGGATTTTCTTATGTTTATACAATTATACACTTAATTACCATTTTATATTCTTCAGTTGCCACATGATAAAGAATATTGTTTTCTCAGCTATGGTTTAAGATCTTAAAGCCAGAGTATTTGGTACTCAATAAAAATGTTTTTTAATGATTGATTTTTGAAATGGTACTTCTGTATCATAAATGTCAAAATAAATTAGCAGTCATTCATTCATACCACCTTGAAGTGCTAATTAATTTAAATAGATTCATCTTGCTAGGAGAAATATTTTTAAGTAAATTACTATAGATGGCTTGCTTTGTCTCCCTATCTCAGACCTCTGTTCCTGCCTTTCAATCCCAGCCCTATTTGGTAAGAGATCGATGTGGCTGGAAGCATCTTATTTTTGTCATTCCCAGGGTAAGCCAGAGGAGCTGGTAAGAATTACCAGGCACCCAGCCCTTTGGGACACACAGCTGTACAATCCCAGTTGTCAGTCTATAGGATTCCTGTACAACACTCACCCCTCTGGCAGAAAGAAGTAGCCGGGTAGACAAAGGTCTCCTGTGCAAAGGGGCAAAGCTGTAATTTTGACCTATTCAGTGTAGCTTTTTCCCTCTTTTTCTCCCTCCCATGAGAGGTTCCCTTCCTCCATGTAAACTGGGGAGGGGGGCAAAGAAAGGGTGAGGGCAGATATTAAGACCAAACAAGGCATTTGGACCGAGGTCCCCAAGGGTATGGTGAATGTCAAAGCTTTATCCCTTGCTTCCCAGTCTGAGGGTGCACCAGCCTAGGTGGAAAGCACATGGAACATCTTGCCATTCTTGTGATTAGTTTTTATTGTTGAAGCTGGGAGATGAGCACATGAGGATTCATCATACTGGTTTTTTTTTTTACTTTGAGTGTTTTTAAATGTCATTAATAAAAAAAGCTTTTAATCATGATATGTAGACTCCATCTCAGTGATAATGACCTCTAGTGGGTTTACAAGGGATCCTCAGTTTTTAGAGGTTAATGAGGTTTTCATTTCCATAAGCCAGCTGCTGGCATCTAGACTGTTTGGACTTATGAGCCTATTTACTACTACAGCCGTGATAGATAATTTATCTTACCTTAAATAAAATAAATTTTAGCAAGTTGGGGTTTCGTGCAAAATACTGTGTTTTAATATTTAACGCTAATATTATAACTGCCTCTTGGAATTTAGTGTGAACTTGGACTTGTAGAAATGTCTTGTGTGTTTTCCATAGGTTACAAAAGTGGATGAAACCAGAGGCATCGCACATGTTTATTTATTTACCCCCAAGAACTTCCCCGATCCTCACCGCAGCATCAATCGGCAGATTACAAATGCAGACTTGTGGAAGCATCAGAAGGATGTGTTTTTGAGTGCTGTATCCAGTGGAGCTAGCTGTCCCCACAGCAGAAGTGGTGGCACCCCCGTTCCGGGCAGCACTGGGGAGAATTTCAGAAAGAGCCTCGCAGATGCCATCAAGAAGTCCCTGGTGGAGCACAGCAGCTCCTCCTCCACAGAGGAACTGCCACCTCCTGTCCACCTGTCGAAGCCAGGGGAGCACATGGATGTGTACGTGCCGGTGGCCTGTCACCCAGGCTACTTTGTCATCCAGCCCTGGCAGGAGATACACAAGCTGGAAGTTCTGATGGAGGAGATGATTCTGTACTACAGTGTGTCTGAGGAGCGCCACGTGGCCGTGGAAAAAGACCAAGTGTATGCCGCCAAAGTGGAAAACAAGTAGGTTCCTGGACAAAGCATTTTATTCTACTAAGAAAAACGTATAGAGCGATACCAAGAGTCCTTAATCCCTGCAGGGGGACTTTGAACTGCACAAATGGAAATTTTGAATGTGAAACGAGACTAATGAATTATGCCCTTTTTTAATATTTGAAATGATGTCATTTATCTAAAAATCTAGTGACCATATATGAAATTCCTGTTAAAACCTAATTATATCCAAAATGAAGGTTTAAATGTTTTTTCTACTTTTCTGTTAGACAAAATATTGTTTATTCAGAAAATAACTTTTTTAATAGAATGACTTTTACATTTTAAAAACTAAATGCTTATTGTAGAAAATTTAGAAAATACAGAAAGGTATAAGAAAATCAGCCACACATAATAACCTTTGTTAAACTACTTACTTATTTCTTCTAGTTCTTTTCTATATATATTCATACAATTGGCATAGTATTTATTATTATATATAATTCTACACCTACTTTTTTCACTTCACATAATTCTGGGAACATTTTTCCATGCCATAAAATTTCTTCATAAACATGTTTAATAGTCCGTCATCTAGAGAAATCATAATTTACTTACCGTTCTCTTTTTTTCTCCCAGATGTTTCACTATTGTAAATAACAATGAACATAAATCTCTGTTCACATCTCAGATTATTTATTTCTGAGGTAGATTCCTAGAAGAGAAATCACTTGTTTAAAGATTACATGATTCTTGATATATGTTGTCCATTGCTCCTAGAGAGCTTACCACCTTTTATAAGGTGCAACAGTGCGTAGTTCATTGCTCCGGCCTTCGGACAGTGAGAAACACAGTTCCTCATTTGTGGAGCACTGTAGTCCGTTTTCTCACAGTTCCCATTCGGATCCACATCCTCCTTTCCTGAAGCCCTCCAGTAAGTGCGGGTTCCAACCCAGGGAAGCCCAAGCGCTACACTGTCTGCCCTACAAGGTCACAAAAGCCCTGGCCCAAGGAACAACCTACCCATGTCCTGTCTCCTTTGCCGCTTTCTCAGGAGAACTGACCAAGCTTATTTGATGATGCCACACACAAAGAACTGTTCCCCCACAACACACACACACACACACACCAGAACTCAGTTTAAAAGGTCAAACTGCTTCTTTTATTTTTTTTTATAGAATGCTTTTGTTCATTCCTAAGACATCAAGCATAGGCATTTGTAAAAATTTTGTTATTTTCATGAGAGGAAAAAAAACCCCAATTTTTAACTCTTAGGAGTGAAAAGTATCATAGCTCTCATTTTAAAAACTATTCAGCTTCTATGTCACAAGCTTTTCATCTTCAAAAAAAACATTTTTACAATGTCACGTTATTTACAGCCGTAAGCATGCATGGGCTTAATTCCACCCGGGAACATCATTTGTGTCAATTTGCCTACATCAGAACTCGTCACAGAATAATTTAACCACAGTTAAAACGAAACTAATGTTAACTGTTATCTGAGGGGCAGATTAATGGTGATTAGCAGTGGGGAGGTCCTACTTGGGGGCAACGGTTGTGTGGGGCAGAAGAACCCCTAAACTAGAGACCCATAGTGTGGTGCTTCAGACTCGACCTCCTCCCCACAGGGGTCCAACAGTCCTGCTCCAAGGCTCTGGGACTTTAACCAGCTAATCTGTCTCTAGATCATCAAGGATGTCTTATATAGGAGAACAGATTATCCGATATTTTCTTAAACTTCATGAACTGAATCAGTGTAAAGTATAAAGAGTTTCTATCTTGCCTATACCCCAGGACTATTTACTGAGCCCTGTTCCCAACTGTGGTAAATTAAGGCTTAGGAATTTGAGATACACTGTTGATTGCAGTGGTTTCCAAATCCATCTTGGCTAAGAAGAGCCAAAATTCTCCTTCCTCACCCCAGACATCCTGAATCAGAATCTCTGGGCGGTGGAACCCCAGAATCAGTGTTTTTAACAAACTCTCCAGATGATTCACAAGCGGCCTTGTACTGAAACTGGTAATCTAGTGCAAACAGAAGCCTTTAGTTAAGCTATTAGTGTTGAAAATTAAAAGCTACAGAGAAGCATGACACATAAGTCCTCTGGTAGCTCTCCCCTTGCTGCTCTGTCCCTCTTATTTACACACTAAAAGTACAGTCCACCAGCATTTGCCTTGTACAATTTAAAGACGATGCTAGAGGTAGAAACCAAATATGTTTATCTCCTTTTGCACTTACACAGTCTGACGTGCTTATATTTACACAGCTTATCTTCATTTTAGTAATAATTATAATAATGATGATGATGGCTACCATTTGCCAAGCACCTGTGATGTGCCTAGTCATGTGCTAGGCACTTTATATATACAGTTTCTGCAAGTGACTTAAATATTGCACATGAGATAACTGAGGCTCAGAGAGGTTAAATAGGAGCCCAAGATGACCCAGCTGGACCATGGCCGCAGGGGGGACTCCAGCCCAAGTCTGTTGGTCCCCAAAGTTCATATACTTATTATAATACCTTTCTGTGACTCATGGATTATTACTTGCTGCACTGTGGGCTTATCTCAAGGTTTCTGGAGTTTCCTCCCAAAGCCCCCAATCACTAGTGTCCAAAATTGGCCTCTTTGTAGCTTTCTTACTAGAGTTCACCCTATAGCAGCTCTGGATGTTTCCTGGACCCATTCTCCATCAGGGTTCTAGAGAATCAGTCCAGTCTGGTCAGCCCCAGCCCAACAGTGTGTTGCAGGGAAGGGCGTGCTGTTGCCCTGGGCTTGGGGCTTATGACTAATGAACCTGTTTCAGAGGGTGGCTGGGTCTGCCATCCAAGGCGGAGCCCACTTCACACCATGCAGGAGTGGAGGCTGCCTCCATAGACGCTTACCTTTTAGATGTTACAAACAATCTTCCTTACCTTAGTTTAGTAATACTCTTCAATCATGTCCTCAAGACTACAGGACTTTAAGATGGCCCTTCATATTTTAACTTTGAAGTCTAAGCTTTTCTAATTGTAATGACGATGAATGTAGGCCCAGAGGAGAAAAATACATTCATGTGAATTTCTTTCTGGTGCCTCGAACTCCAGATCTGAAACCATGTTCTTCTTCCCCCATATTCTCCTATCCTGTCCAGGTTCTTTATTCCAGGCAATGGGTTGGACTTTGTGTTTTGTTTTATTTTGTTTTCCAGTGTCCTCACTTGGCATGACTAAAATTGTCACCTTTGCATTCAGAATGTTTTGTAATCTCTTCCCACACTCTCTTATTTCCTCTTCCTTCGCACATTCCTCCTCCTTGTTCTCCTGTGGTGTTTGCTCCACTCCCAGTTGCCATGCCCTGTAGAATCCTCTGTGCTTTTTCTTCTCATGTGTGTCTTCAGCCTGGCCGGTTCTGCTTACCTCCCTCTGCCCATCTTCCACACACGTCCATCCCTTGTCTCAGACCTGTGGCCACCTCTATCTCCCTGTCGGAGCGGAGGGATCTCCCTGCCTTGTCCCGATCAGCCTCCATCTGTTTAGAGTCTGTTTAGTGGTGGTTGCTGGTTTCTGTGTTTGGTCTCCTGCACTAGTTCCACGACGCCTATAAACGGGATGAGTGAACAGACTCCATCAAATGAGCCAGTGGCAAAGTAGAGAACATTAACCTTTGGGTCAAGAAGAAGCAATTTCTTTTAAAACCTCGATGACAGTACAGTTCCATAGTTTGATAAACGTCATTTACATTAGTTTTTCTTTTTATCATACATTGTTACCCATAAAGCTGATGTTGACTTTGTGTATTTTTCCTTCCTTTTTAATCCAATGTACATCTAGGTGGCACCGGGTGCTTTTAAAAGGAATCCTGACCAACGGGCTGGTGTCCGTGTATGAGCTGGACTATGGCAAGCACGAACTCGTCAACATAAGGAAGGTGCAGCCCCTGGCGGACGTGTTCAGGAAGCTGCCCTTTCAAGCCGTCACAGCTCAACTTGCAGGTAATTTCTGCAGGATTCGAACTTGTGCCTCCACACAGTGTATAGTGTCATTTTGTCCTGGGCCCTCGGGGAGCACACAGTTACTGGCCCTATTGATGTAACTTTTCTTTTCTTTTTTTTTTCCCCTTTGGCAAACAACTTCCTGGCCCTACTGGAAATAATTTTTCATCATCTCTCACCGTCATGCCCTCCTACCGTATCTGCCATTCTATTTTTCCGTATTCCTTTCTGTCCGTGGTCTCACATAAGGGTGTATTCGTAAAGCTGTCATCTTAGCACAGGGACAGTCTTGCATGCTGCTTTCTTCTTTTTTTAGCTTTTTTTTTTTTTGTCCTAACTACTTTTTGAGTGTGTGTTTGATGGTCTTGATAATGATTTTTAATAGCTGCCAAAGATTCTGCCAAAGATTCAAAGATTCTCCAGGGAAATCAGTATTTCCCTTTTGTTAGGCCTTTAGGTCACTATACGCTTATTGTAATATTATGAAAACACCTGCAGCTAAGTATACTACCCAAAACAAACACAAAAACAATGAAACAACGTCAGTAATCAGTAGGAGGAGCACACTGCTCAATTAATAGGTGGTAACGTTGTATAAATTATAATACAAATACATAATAGGTTTCCACAATTAGAAAACATTCCTAGGTCATAGAATATGACCATCTTTGGGGCGCCTGGGTGGCTCAGTCGTTAAGCGTCTGCCTTCGGCTCAGGTCATGATCCCGGGGTCCTGGGATCGAGCCCCGCATCGGGCTCCCTGCTCT